CACACCCTGAGCATGGCACACTGCTGAACACACACAGCCCTACACACACGAGTACAGCCCCACACACCCTGAGCGTGGCACACTGCTGAACACACACACAACCTTACACACTCTGAGCATGGCACACTGCTGAACACACACAGCCCTGCACACCCTAAGCGTGGGACACCATGGCCCCACACACAGCCCTACACACTCTGAGCGTGGCACACCATGGCCCCACACACACACCTGTACACCCCTACACACCCTGAGCATGGCACACTGCTGAACACACACAGCCCTACACACCCTGAGCCTCACAAACCATGGCCCCACACACATCTGTGCAGCCCTACACACCCCAAGCATCACACCCCACAGTCACACACACCACYGTCACTCAGCACATCTTCTCATCTTGTGCTGGCACTCCATGCACAGAGATCCACACATGACAGTTCTGGTCTGGAACACACCCCACACACTCACACACACACACACACACTGACCTCCACACACCCCAGCCACACACACCAAAGCCCCACACATCAAAACTCCCTCAGGTCCCCAGCCAGATGTGCCACAGCATCACACACTCCAAAACCTGCCCATGCCACAGCTCTCCACACAGCACCCCACACAGCACAGCCCCTTCCCCAACCTCAGCATATCCCCCCAAGCACAGGCATGTACACAGACCCATGGCACGGCGATGATCTTAAACATTCCTTCCAACTGAAAGCATTCTGGAATTCTGTGTTCATTACATACGGCAGACATACACACAGCAAAACGTTCCCAATGGCTCAGAGGAGCCAGCCTGGCTCCACAGGATCCATCCCCAGCCCCACAGCTCCTGAGCCACCACSGCAGGGATGCTGCAATCCCTCAGATCCTCTAGCCACATCCTGCCTCTCATTTCMCCATCAGGTTTCCAGTAGCAGGTGTTACCATGGGAGCCTGGAGCTGCTTTATTGCACTCCCCAAGACAAGGTGCTAGCCCTCCTGGTGTTGCCTTTCCCAGAACTGTAGACATCCTCCTGCATCAGAGATGGGATTTTCAGCTTTACTCAGTGAAGGCTGAGCTGGTCTTGACTTCTCTGAACCCCAGGTTACATTCCCTTGTTTTAGGTGTTTCTCAAATCCTAGGACCACAGGGCTCATTACGGTAACTCTCCATGCCCCAAAGCAGCTCTGTCTGTCTCACTCGTGGCTATACCTCATCTAAAGACTTTGGATACCCTTCCTGAGATGTGAGGGGCAATGGGAACACAGAGCCTTGCAGGTGGATCAGATCAGAGGTCAGTCTCCAAGACTGAAGCTCTCTGAAAGGTGCACCCCAAGCTGAGTGGATAAAACTGGTCACAAGGCTCTTTGGGAAACTCCTGGATACAGGGACAGGGAAGAATTCATTTCATCAATTCAGCAAATAAGAGTTCATCCAGGGCAGATTCTGAATCACATCATCTGAGTGTTACCAGAATTGTTAGAGCACCACTTGGAGCAAGAAGGTCTCACCTGCCAAAAGAAGCCTGTATGGATGAGCAACAAGGGGAAGAGGGGAAAGGTGGAAAAGAGGAAATATCTGGTTTCGATCAACTCCTTAAAAATAGAAGTCTGATTASCTTTGCCCATTTCTGATTCCTCAAGGGAGAGCAGGAGAAGAGGAATCTATAAATAGCTTGCAACACAGAGAATCCTATAGCAAAGTTGCTGGGAAAGATCAATAGCATGATTCAAGGAGGGCTCCAAATTACATCTCAGGGGAGGGAGGTGCTGAACAGAATTGATAAATGAGTTGCAAATGCTGTGTGTGTTGTGTGTATCTAATTAACAGAGGGTGACTGGGATCAATAGCAAGGAAGGAGATGGTCTAAAAATAGGACTCAGGCAGGGACTGCAACCTGCGGGCATCAGCTTGGATGGAAATGTCCCCTGGAGTAATTAACCTTTAGCTGAGAGTGATGGTTATTGTGGGGTTGAAGTGGGGATTGTGGGCAGCTGGGAGGGGATGAGGTCTCTGTGGCACTTAGGGCACAGGGCAGTGTGACATTGTTGGGGTACAGGCATGATCAGGAGCTCAGAGCCTTTCTGTCATCAGGCGACAAGATGATGATTGCTGTGGTGCTTTCTGGAGAAATCTGAATATTAGCATTTTACTGGGGTTGTGGAAGAGGAAATAATTGCAGTTCTGTGTACTCACACAGGTTTCAACATTGCTCAGAGAAAAGTAAGAATCGTTTCATAAATCATCTATTTACATCCGTAACAATCTGGGGTTTTCTTCTTTTTTGCTGACCCTGTTGCTGAGGAAGTACCACCAACTCCAGTCTTTGCTCATCCAGACTCAACACCAAATATTGAGCCATAGAACAAATGACTTTTGAAGAGAAGTGTCCTTCAATTCCAACTTCCATTCACAGCAAAGCAAACTCCAGGGAGAAGGTTTGACATTCTCCAGGGCAGGGTGGTCTGTGGCTCAGTTTGGGGGCTCTGCTGAAGCCAGGCTGAGCTGGCTTCACCCAACTGAGAGGCAGAAACACACCCAGGAAGAAGAAAGTTCATTTTCAGACTGAGTGCAGGATTGGAACCTGGGCTACTGTACAGCATGACTGAAAGAAAAGGAATCTGTAAAGATGAAGAAGCTAGAAAATACCTCTGGCAGGAAAGGATTGAAGGGGTAAGTGGTGACTGAAGAGCTCTTCTTTAATATAGACTGAAGTGACTAAAAGTTCCTGGACAAAAGTTTTCCCCATAAGA